TTAAATTTAACAGAGGATTATGTAATTTATTGAATTTTAAACAAATAAGTTATTTAATAATAATAATTTTATTATTTAATTTTTTAAATTACTTTTGCCATTTTTCCTTAAAGATTTCAAAATGCTCTTTGCTTAAATCATTAATTAAATTAGAATTTACTTCCTAATTCATAGCCAGAAAAAGGTTTAAAAGTATGAATTTATCTCTTTTGGCAGATTTTACCACATCCCATCACCTTTAAATTTTAGCTTTCTTATTGTGTGATTTAGTGTGTTCATTTTCTTTTTGATGTTATTTTATTTAAGATAAGGTTAAACATTTTAAAGATTCCACCCAATATCTACAGAATATACATTCTTTTCATCAGCATAGGGAACATTCTCCAAGATATTTTAGGCCACAAAATAAATCTTAACAAACTTTAAAAAAATGAAATCATATGAAATATCTTCTTTTACCACAGTGGAATAAATCTAGAAATCAATACAGAGGAACTTAACAAACTATACAAACAAGAATCTCCCAGTTCATTGGTGTTAGCAGCTTTTGAGCTCATAAGGGTAGAAAGGCTCTCTAGCAGCTTCAGAGCCTGCTGACTGCCAGAGATGTGAGGGAGAGAGAAACAAACCACTCCAACTACCCTTTTTTCTGGACCCAGGCTTCTCCAGGCATGATCTCTGTTGATATCTTGCTCTTCCTTGTTCTGCTTTGCAACTTCTTCCCGTGGAATCTCTGGTATGTTCTGGCACTTTCCCCTTGGAATTATACCAATCTATGTTTGTTTGTTTTTTCTTTATTAATCTAAAACTTTTCCTTCTTTTTGAAATAAATTGTCATCTGGTTTTTCTGGTCAGCCATCTTGTCTCCCTCAGTTCACAGTGAAATAAAACTAGAAATCAACTCCAGGAGAAACACTCAATTCTACACAGAGTCCTGGAAATTAAACAGCCAGCTGCTGAATGAGTATTGGGCTAATAACAAAGTTAAGATTCAAATCAAAAGATTCCTTGAACTAAATGACAAAGGGGATACAAGCTATCAAAATCTATGGGATTCAGCAAAAACCATCCTAAGAGAAAATTGATAGCCTTAAATGCCTACACCAAAAAGTCAGAAAGACTACAAATTAACAATACGAAGACACATCTCAAAGAACTAGAAAAGGAAGAGCAAACTAATCCCAAAGCCAGCAGAAGTAAAGAAATAACTAAGGTCAGAGCAGAACTAAATGAAATGGAAAACAAACAAATAAAATACAAAGGATCAATGAAACAAAAAATTGGCTCTTTGAAAGATAAACAAAACTGATAGATCTCTTGCTAAATTAACCAGGAATAGAGGAGAAAGGACCTTTTCAATCAGAAATGAAAAAGGAGATATTACAACTGATACCACAGAAATATAAAATATCATCTGTGAATATTATGAAAATCTCTACATACATAAAACAGAAAATGTATAGAAAATGAACAAATTCCTGGACACATACAACCTTCCAAGACTCAACCAGGAAGAAATAGAACTGTTGAACAGACCAATAACAAGCAGCTAGATTGAAGCAGTAATAAAAAAATCTTCCAACAAAAATGAAAGCCCCAGACCAGATGGATTCACAGCTGAATTTTACCAGACCTACAAAGAAGAGCTGGTATCCACACTGAAGAAATTATTCCATAACATTGAAAAGGAGAGAATCCTCCACAATTCATTCTATGAAGCCAGCATCACCTTGATGCCAAAGCCAGGAAAGGACACAACAAAAAAGAAAACTACAGACCTGACTTCAAGTTGTACTACAAGGCTATAGCAACCAAAATAGCATGATACTGGCATAAAAGTAGACACATAGATCAATGGAACAGAATAGAAAGCTCGGAAATAAAACTTTATACTCACAACCAATTGATCTTTGACAAAGCAGACAAAAACATACATTGAGAAAAGGATATCCTAGTCAATAATTGGTGCTGGGAAAATTGGATAGTCGTATGTAGAAGAATGAAACTGGATCCATCTCACTTACAATATATAAAAATTAAGTAAGACTGACTAAAGACTTAAACATGAGACCTGAAACCATAAAAATTCTTAGAAGAAAACCTAGAAACAACTCTTGTGGATATTGGCCTAGTCAAAGAATTTATGACTCAGACCCCCGAAGCAAATGTAAAAATATCCCAAAACAGACAAATTGGACTTAATTAAACTAAAAAGCTTCTGTGTAGCAAAAAAAAAAAAATAACCAAAAAAGTAAACAGACAACTTATAGAATGGGAGAAAATATTTACAAACTATGAGTCTGACGGAGGACTAGTATCTAGAATCTACAAAGAATCCAAACAACTCAGCAAGAAAAAAAACCAAACAACCCCATTAAAATGCAAGTGAATGACATGAACAGGCATTTTTCAAAAGAAGATATACAAATGGTCAACAAACATATGAAAAAAATTACTCAACATCGCTAATCATCAGAGAAATGCAAATTAAAACCTCAAGGAGATATCATCTTACTTGAATTAGAATGGCCATTATTAAAAGGTCAAAAAACACTTGGGGGTGTGGGGGTGGGTAAACTCACAACTAATGGATGTGGTGAGCATTGTGGGCAGGGGAAGGGCATGCCTCAAATCATGGTTTGGTTGTGGCAAAGTCATAACATGTAACCAAAACGTTTGTACCCCCATAATATCCTGAAATAAAATTAAAAAATGTCAAAAACCAATAGATGTTGGCATGGATGTGGTGAAAAGGGAACACTTAAATGCTATTGGTGGGAATGTAAATTAGTACAACCTTTATGACGATCTATATGGAGATATCTCAAAGAATTAAAAATATTTTAATAGTTCTACCATTCGATCCTGCAGTCTCACCACTGAGTATCTACCCAGAGGAAAAACAATCATTACATCAAAAAGATACTTTCACTCATATGGTCATCACAACACAATTCACATTCACAAAGATATGGAATCAACGTCAGTGTCCATCAACTAATGAGTGGATTAAGGAAATTGGTATATATATTCCATAAAATACTACTCAGATATAAGAAAGAATGAAATAATGTCTTTTGTAGCAACTTGTATGGAACTGGAGGCCATTATCCTAAGTGAAGTAACTCAGGAAGAGAAAAATAAAAATGCCATACATTCTCACTTTTAAGTGGGAGTTAAGTTATGGCTATACAGAGGTACACAGAGTAGTATACTGGACATTAGAGACTCACAAGGGGGGAGGTTGGGAAGGGGTGATGGATGAAAAATTACCTATGGGGTACAATGTATCCTACTTGGGTGATGGGTACACCAAAAGTCCAGACTCTGCCACTATACAACATATATGTGTAATGGAATTCAACTTGTAACCCGTTAATATATTAAAATAACAAAGTAATAATAAAAATAAATTTGAAAGTTTTGTATAAACTTTCAATGTTCACTTAGACAGCACTCATTACAATTACTGAAGTGTTTCCATTGAATCACTGGCAAAACCATACATAGAAATAAAGATATATCTCAAAGAGTTACAAAAAAAAGGTCTGGATGGGTCAATTGTCCAGTATCAAAATTCTTTATCATAGTGTAGAATTAAATATTTGAAAATTTGAGTATAATAAATGTAAATATGCCACCCTTCTGGGCTTCTCTCCTATACTCACTCTATATACCTCTACACAGCATTCATGACTTTGTTAAAATTTATTGATTTTTTTCATCTAGTTTTTTTTAACATAAACTCCTTAAAGAAGCTCAAGATTGTGTTTAGATCACTGCTTTATCCCCAAAGACTAAGTCAATAAATGTTTATTGAATAAATCACTTAAAAAGGAATCTTCTCACAAGGCAAGTAATTATAAATATTTAAACAATACCTTATTGTTAGCTTTTTATGTAATTTCTCAACAGATCTAGTGAATGACACAAGCTTGTTGAATAAATTATAGTATTAAACTTTAATTTTCCCATCTCTGGTTCTCTGTCTCCTTTTTGGAAATTTATGTACTGATTTGATATGTTTTTCCCCAAACTTCAATATTTTATTAATTAATTTTAGTAAAAAACATTGTGCAGCATAGTTAAAATTTGAATCATAGTATGCACTTCAAGATTTCCAGCCTAGGAACAGTGATTTTCCTAGAATATGTGTCAGTTATCATGTTTGAAAACTTTGTAAAATTATTTATTTTATTATTTATTTATTTTATTTTGCATTAGTTTTCTGTTGCCAGTATAACAAATTACCATAAATTCAGTGGCTTAAAACAACACAAATATATTACAGTTCTGGAGGTCAGAAGTCCAAAATCAGTTTGACTGAGCGAAAGTCAAGGTGTATCAGCAGGGCTTGCTCCTCTAGCACCTGCAGGGGAGAATGAGGCCCTCGCCTCTTCCTGCTTGCAGAGGCTGCCTACATCCCTTGGCTCATGTCCCCTTCTTTCATCTTCAAAGCAGCATCTTACTTCTATTGTCCCATTGCTGCCTTCTGTAGTCAAGTCTCACTCTGCCTCCTTTTGTAAGAAAACTTGTGATTACATTATCCGGGATCGTGCACATTACACTCAGATAATCCAGAATAATTCCCCATCTCCAGACCCTTAATTTCATCACATCTGCAAGGTCCCTTTTGCCATATAGGGTAACATTCACGGGTTACAGGAATTTTGACCTAAATATTTTTGTAGGGCCATTATCCAGCCTTCCACACACTCCTCTATTAATTTATTAATAATTTCTGTACTGAATATATGATGCTCTTCTAATAAAAAAGTTTCAAAGTATATATTAAAACATTTACTTTTATTGATGCTACTCACTGCTTTGTGTCTCAAAGTATCAAACAATTTTAATAAAACATGCTAAATTATATTATCATAGAAAATGCAAAATCAATACAATATCAAGTTGTCATTTCTAATATGTCCTGAATTTGTTGTCAGTGGTTGTGGAAGATTGGAAGGCCAAAGGATGAGAGAGGCTGTTAGTTTGGTCAGTGGGCTCTTCACTCTTCAGAAAACAGCAACTAAAATTGACATCATTTATTTCTTTGTGTTTCACTTCTTCCCTTCTGCTAGCTTTTATATTCATGGGAGGTGAAACTGCTGAAAACAGAAAACACATGTTTACTCAATTTCACATTCCTGCTTGGACTGATGAATTGTTCAGATATGCCACACCCTGTAAAATGTCCATCTGTGCCTTTTCATAGGCTGGCTTTCATTCTCTGAAAAGCTCTTTCAAATCTTCCCTCACAGAGAACACTTAGCCTCCAGAATTTAGCTCGGAACTTACTGCCTCTGTGACTCCACCAGGAAGCCTCTGCAAGCTCCTCTCGTATGACTTCAACACACCATCCCTGGAGATATGGTATCACTCATTGTCTTGATTGCAACTACTTATTTACTGGTCTAGCTCCTTCTCTGGGTTGCATGCTCCATAAAGGAAGGGACTGTCTCCTTCAGATTACCTAACATTCTGCCCAGCACAGAGCAGGTGTTCACTGAATGTATGCAAGTAAGTAAAGGCTCGTTCAATAATCGTGTGCTGAATGGATGAATGATGTTTTATTTACCAGTGGGTATACTCATTTCACGAACTTCTCTACTATTGGAATTTTGGACACATGCCCACTCTGCAGAGTGTTAGGTGTAGGAAGAAAATGATTAAAGTTTCTCACAAATCAATGTTGATATTATAAAAACAAACATGTAAAATATTTCATCTATTTGCAGGTGGGATTATATGGATCGGGTCACATATTGACATGTGAATTTGTGGTTCTGGCCAAATGGGCCAGTCAAGATGAAACAAATATGTGTCACTATCCCTCTGAAAACAATATCAGCATTTCATATAGGTTCTATCTAAGAGCTCCGACAAAGCAGCCATTTTTACATAAAAGTACTGCAGCTACCTTTCTTACCACACCTACCTAAAGAAAATTATACTTGCAGTAAAAGTACTTATTGTTTAATGCTTTGGTAGCTAAACCTACAAATGTGTTATTTATTTATTTATTTGAACGATGTGAAATAAAAAAAAATTTATTGATTGATTTCACCATAAAAGCTGCATATATCTACTTTATGTGAAGCTAAAGGTTAAGAAGTCAGTTACTTTGCATGAAGTATTCTTCATTTCAGACATCTGAAAAAACACAGGTTTGAGTTGGGATGATAATCGTCTTCCTTAGGCAATATTGAAGGAGGTAAAATTTTGTAGCTAAATAAAGTAGAATCTTGAAAAAATATCTGCCTTTCAAGTATCAATTCTTAAATCAATCATTTCCTCCATGTAAAATCAATGACCATCACCAGTCAAAAATTAGTAAGTTTTCTTGTAAAGCTGATATTTGTTTATTTACTTATTCGTTTATTTATTATTTATTTATTTTTCTGCAAATCACATTTATTGGGTCCATGGAGCAATTATTTAACAATGAGGCATAAACATCCATCTCAAGTGTCTACAAATATTTTGTATGAACCTCAAGTTTATGGTGGAGCCTGCCAACCATGGAAAATAAAGACTGGCAAAAGCGTATAATATCCAAATGTCATACTTGCTGCCAGTGGTCCCTAGCACTTGGGTTATTTCATCACTCTAAGCGAATGGCAAGTGGACGCATGGCTGGTATAAGCAGGGCCATGGGAAGGACCACTGACTCCCAACAAGGCTTTGCGTCCACTGAGTTCCAGCTCGTCTGTTTGTAAAGTGAGCACTTGAGCTTGTGATGCTCTCCGGGGCCCAGCTCTAACATGGCAGGACCTTGATTTTGAAATATTTTAAGTACACAGAGTTTAATAAGAATTTTTGTTCATGAAAACACAACTTCAAAAAACAAATAAGAAAGCCAGTTAAATTTCCCAAGCTTGAACTGAGAGTTTGGGGTTTATTCCTACTCAGTGAGAAATGAGCATCTCTAAGTGCCTAGAAGACCACACAGATGTACTCTTTCCTTGTAGAATCTAAGAATACTGGGGCTGGGAGGAACTGTAGGAATCACTGATTTTACTGTGTGTAATCCTTAAATATTATTTTCTATTTTTCTTGATAAATAACAGTTGCATGTATTTATGGGGGTACATGTGATATTTTGATACATGCACACAATATGTACTTGTGTATCATTTTTACAATGAGGATGCTTAATATTTATAGAGGTAGCGATTCTCCCAGAATTACAGAGTCACACGTGAGACTAGAATCCAGTCCTTCTGCCTAGTCTATTATTGTCTCCTCTATACCACGATTATTTAAACAGAGTTTTCAAAAGATATTAGGCCATCCAAAATTTAAACCAGATATATAATTTGCATTATTCTCCACCTTGTGGTGAAAAGTGGTGAAGAAAACACTAGATTGGGATCACAGGACTTGGGAATGTTGATTGAAGTTCTTTGTTGCCACCTATGGTATGCAGTCCAGTTAACTGAGGCAGAAAGGAAGCCTCCAAAACATCGCCTAGTAGTAGCACTCCCTAAGACAGCTCCAGCCCTGCCACAGATAGGAGGCTGCAGAATCAGGAAGCCATCTCAGCTCTAAACAAGAAGCTGCTGAGTTAGAAAACGTTTGACAAATCATGAAGTCTACACTGTGACTGCTGGCTCCCAAATCCTTCTGCTCTGTCACAATGTGGGGCTCTCGGAAGGGATGCCTTGCACCCTGTCTCTCTCTCCATGCAACTCTGATCTGAATGAAAGTCTCAAGTAAGTGCATCTGAATGGCAGTACCTACATCATATACAGAATCCTCACTTCAAAGGAGTCTGGGAAATGGCATTTTTAGCATGAGTGAGAGGCCCGGTAGAAGGGTGTTAGAATGGCTTATGAGTGATCCAATCCCCAGTATTGAACACACTGGATTTAAACCTTCTTGTATGATCACATGTTCTTGGGACAAATTTAACCTCTCTGAACCCCAAGCACTGACAATGGCCATGAAAGCAGTTTGCTGTAAATCGATACACAAGTGCCACTTATTTAGTATTACTCTCCATGCCATTTGCACCCTCCTAGCTATTCTTACTTCTGTTTAGCCTGTGCGGTATGCCAGTGGGATAAAATACAACGGTCTTACCAGAATACAGTACTACCCTTTCATCCAATCCCTGAATATATCTGCCCATGAAAATAGTACAAAAGGGAATGGGGAGTATGATATCTTTAGCTTGGACTTATTTACATGACTAAGTTTAGAAAAGTGTTTTAATGAGTCTTGTTAGCAGGCTATAGCTTATTGCCATTTGGCTCTCCTTGAAGACTCTTCTAAAATTATTCCTAATCTTGTGACTTATTTTACTTTAAAGTAAGCTGGCATGCTCTGAGTCTTCAGCTGGTTCATTAATCACCTGGTGAGAAATCAGTTGCCTTAGAAAATGTACTGGTGTCCTTTGGCAAAATTCTGGCCTATTAAGAACATTTTAAAAACCACATTCAGAATCTAACTTGCTGGCCTGGGAAAACTGACCGTCCGTTTGGACACTCACCATTTTCCAGTGACATAGAGCTGTCTTGTGCCCTCTGTGGCAGTCTGTCTGGATTTCAGGCTGTTGCCCTTTCTTCTCGCCTGCCTCCCTCCCCTTTCCAACCATCTTTGTTGTGACCCCTTCCATTATTTTTATTTCCAGAGCTATGTAAAATAAAAATGTAAAGTACATTCCGACATATGCTCGTTAAGTTCCCTTGGATAACGAGCCGTAGTTATTGTGGGTGAGAAAGAATGCTCACTGATTCATTCTGTAGGGAAAACATGAGAGAGATTAATTTTCAGTATTGGCAGGTATTTGTACTTACACTTCCCTGTGCTTAAAAAATATTTCTTGCCAGTTGAAAAATGAATTCAACATTATGACTTGTAAATATTGCTTATAAGGATTATAAAATTGTCTGTAAGATGTAGGTTATCCCAACTGCGACTGCAAAGTGAGAGCCTGAACTCTTGCTGAGTGTCTCCGGCCTCCGGTTTCCGTGTGTATAAAACGAGAAGAGTTTCATCTCTAACATTCTAACACTGTAGGAACTCATGAATGTTTGGCTACACAGTTAAAGGTGATGACTATTGCCCGCTTTGCTGATCTTTCCTTAAATAAAGACATTAGGAAATAGGACTAAAAGGACATTACTAAATTCTCTTCTCTTTCTACTTTCTCTTTTCTCTCCTCCTGCTTTCACCTATCTTTTCTTCCCACATTAACAGACTTTGAAATTAGACACATAGATCCCCAATGGTCGTCTTTCTTTATGTAATCAAAGCTAGAGGTAGACATGACCCTTAAGAGGTAAGAGTAGGATTGTCTTTGAACTTACTTTTCCATAGAGGAAGTAGCAGGACATACCTCACCGGAACTGCGTCCAAGTTTTCACTTTCTTCCGTAACCTGGTTGCACATCATGAGCAGTTACATATTCAAATGAATCTGTCAGGGACAAGAGGCTGGTGCTCGAGCTCCTGCTCGGCCCGATGACATTGATTTGTTAGCATAATGCTCGGCTGCGGGATGTGTGACAGATAAATTTTATCAAAATTAAGGCACAATTAAACATTTCATCTTCCTAATTACTGGCTGTAGATTCAGCCTGATGACCATGTGCTGTAAGAAATCAGCGACCATTACACATTTTAATGGAGCACAGCTGTCTTACAGCTTGGTAATATTTGCACAGTGCCACAGAACTGTAATTTATGATAAAAAGAAAAAATGTGTATTGGCGCTTTTTTGCCAAAATAGATTAAGGATTCATATACTTTAATGAGATTTGGACCTAGTCTTGGATTATCGTTATAAATGATTTATGTGCATGTTGGTGGACTCCTGTAGTTCGGAGTTGATTTGTGTTTTGGTCTACCGATATGTCATTCAATATTTACTCTTGAGCCAATACCTATCACTGCCCCCCCCCTTTCTCTTTCTTTCGCTTCTTACCTTTCTTTCACCTCTTACAAAGGACAAATGGGAAGGTGAACAAAACTAAAAGGCAATGGCAGCAATAGCTTGTTGAAAACAACTATAGCTTCTTTAGAACGTGGGGAGTGGATGGCTGGGGTTGGTGGCGGTGCAGGACCTTCTCCCCACCAGCCCTGGCTGTCCGTCGGTGCTGCCCCTGCCGGGCAGCCACACATGGTCCGGGGGGCCAAGCCTGACTGCAGATTGGCCTTTGCTCTCCTTAGAAGAGGGGCGATGACGATTAAAATCTCTTCTATTGCTGCATTTTTAAAATAAGGGGGATGACTTATTTCACCTTCCTGGGATTCACAAGAGCACTAATGAGTGTGATTATGAGTTATTCATAATTGCAAAAGGCAATGTGGCAGAGCTACATCTCCTTATGACTACCGTAAGGACCTCCAGGCTGTGAATTTGGCAATGCTTGCTCTTAACTACTGTTGGGGCACGTCTCTCTTTAGAACTGTTCTTACTGGAAAAACATTTGAAAGGGCTTATGTCTGTGAATGAATTTCTTTCAACAGATTGGGCACCAGTAAGGTCACGAGCAGTCAAAAACTGTGCGTGGAAATTGTATGTGAACTGTATGCCCCTGGTGCATAGCTGTTGCTAATGAATAGGGGAGTACATGTCAATGGTTACACCTTATTAGCAATGAATATGATAATTAAATCTGTCCAGGCACGTTGACGTCATAATGTCCAATCCTCCTTCTATGAAAAAGGTACATATCTCTTTAGAAATATTCTGCTCAGAAATCACAGTGGCTGAGAGAAAAAGGCGAGATAAAAGAATCTGCACGAATCTGCTCAATTTAGGTGTTAACTTGCCTACTGAAAACAGAGAACATATCCTAATGAATTCAGAAGGCCTAAATATATATATGTAACAGGGAAGGAAGAGCTCATCTTTTTATCATCCCAATCTTCTCCAGGCTTGATTTATTTCGGCGCTCATATGCTGGAATGCTTCATACTGTACCAGGTTGCATATGCTTGTACACTAATTCTCAATTGCCGTATGCAGTTTGTGACAACCATCTGCTTCGACCTCCCTTTGAGTTCTTTCTCCCACTCAGCCCAGCTGAAGTAAAAATATGGACAGAAACAACTTCTGCAGGGAAATGAAAAAGTTAATAGGAGAGTTAAAGTTATATTGTGTATCTGCCTTCCGCACGGGTGTGCTCCTGCCACTTAGCCTCCACTTATCAAATATTTCTGAAGTGCAAAGCCTGACACTTAAGCAGAAAGCTGTAAAAAATGCCATGTTTCCTCTGACAGTCTTGGCTGTGGAGGAAAGGTAATAATAAAATACGTACATCTAGCGCACATGCTGACACGGGAGCCCACAGTACTGCTCCTGCCACCTAGACTTACAGCACGTGCCACCTTGTCACCCGCCAGAGGGAGAGGGGAGAGAAGGACGGAAGAGAGAGGCAGGCATGTTTGGAAATGCCTGAAAGGAAGTCAACAACACACTTTGGAGTTTGACTTGAAAAGGAGGGTTGATATCTATTTCTTAAAAATTATTGACTTAGAAAATAGGAGAAAGAGCCTCTGTAACTACAGAGCACAGATCTCATTATCTTTTTGCATGGAACATAAAAAGAAAAAAACAGAGAAAGATGTCTGAGAAGTTTTTAAGAAGACATTTCATTTATGTATTTGTGTTTGAGAGGGAGATTTAAAAAAAAAGAGTGCTTGAGTTACTAGAACACTTACCATAGCCATGGAAGTGATGGTATGTATGGCATTTCATCAAATCAAAGGCACCATTGATTCTATCAGAGCTGATCTCACAAATGCTGAAATGTGAAAAAATGATGTCTTAAAATCAGTGAGAAGTCGCATATATCACATCTCCATGTTGATCAAAGTGTGGTACCTACATCTTTCGTACCGTGGCCATGAATTTAATCATAAGCACCCACAGAAAAATGACCTTGGGACCATGAGAAGACCACGTGGCATAGGAGACTTATGGGAGAAGAAGGAGAGAAGAAATAAGAGGAGACGAAAAGGGGGAAAACCCTGGAAACCTATAGAGAAGAATGAAAGAGAAATCTAAGTAATACCATAGTCTCTGTCTTCCAAAATCATTAGTGTTTCCTCAGGAAAAGCACAAAGTGAGAACATCAAATGAAATTGGCAGACAAAGAAAAAAGAAATGTCCTGGATATAGCTCTGATGAGTTTCAGATGGAATCAAATATAAAGCCTGGTGAATCATTACTAAAATGGGTGAAATTCAAGTTCAGTGTGTTCTCTTGGAGTCTGAACTGCCAGATTCTGTCTAATTATAATTGATTAATTCTAAAAGCCACAAGTCATGCAAACATTGTCGCACTGTATCTTTTCTTTCAAACTTAGGTGGATTATCTGAAGAATTTCGATACAAATACATCAGAACCAGATTGTATAGCTGGGATATACTACCTTACAACTATTGAAGGAATTCTAAAATTCTTTTAGGAAATCCGAAGGTAATAGTTAATGATCAATTAAGAGCATGAGCTTTGATATCAGATAGGCTGCATTAAAATTCAGAGTTTTGACTCTGCCATTTATTAGCCTATGAACGTATTAGCTTTGGTTTCTTTATTTGTAAAATGACTGAAAACAGCAACTATCTTAATGATGTCAGGACGAAATGGGGAAATATATGTAAATCACCTAGCACAGTGCTCAGTACATAATAAATGCTCGGTAGATGATAGTTACTCCTATGAGAAACAGACTCATGGACACTGGGAGGGGAGAAGCTGAGAAATACCCAAGGACATTTGCGGTAGGCTGGTGAGTTTTTTTCATTGGCAAACAGGGATATGAGATGTTAAATTTGGTCACTTGAGCAAATGTGATCATCTTTTGTCATCATATGATGGTGAAGCTTAAATATAAGGATCATAAATACCACTGATTCTTCTACAGATACTCTTTAGAACCACAGTGTATCACTCCATTTCTGGAAATGTAATTGCTTCCCTCCCAAATTGAACTCTTTTATCTTATGATAGCTTTTGCTATCATTTGTTGATTAATGCTTGAGGTCAATTTGAAAGGTATGTAACTATGTGTATGTGTGTAGTGTGTATGTATTACATATATAAACAATAAGCGTATGCATTTCTTAATATATTTTTAAAATATTTCATAATTCCAATTTTAAAAGGTGGTCTCTATTTCATTTCTCTTAATCTCTTCCAGAAATTGAAAGACTTGATCACTCTCATTGTGATTTTCAGCTAACTGGTTTCATCTACTTTGATCTGTGCTGTACAGCAGGATTTTTAGATGCCAGATGCCTAAAACACATAGGTTAAAAGCAGGTCAGTTTCAATACAAGACTATCATTTTTACAGTTTAATGAATATATTTACAAATTCCATAGTTATAAGCTTGTTGACCCACGCACACTGAAATTTTTATTCTCAACAAATGATCCAGTGCAAAAACATTTTCTTCAGACCCTGAGCATTTATCAGCCACTGATGAGAGCCCAGTACCTGACTGGGTGGCTTATGAAAGTTTGAAGTGGAGGAAGAGGAGAGGTAGCTTGGGGCTCTTGCTAATGGTTACAGAATCCTCACTCTGCAGCCAAGGCTGGCAAAGTCAACAAGAAACAGCAGGGCTTAAATAGCTCACTGCTAGTCCTAGCAGGGTTCTTGTCAGTCAAAAATATTCACTGCATACCTATTGTGTGCAGAATGCATCTCTTCACTTGCCAATTCAGCACTGAGAGGTTGGTTTAGCTCTTTTTATCTTTATGACCTGCAGACTGGTAACAGCCTTTCTAGCAGTGTGTTCATTTTAACTATAATTTATTCCAATAAAACAAGGTGGATGTTCCCTAGATATGGCCACCATATGCCCTGAGTTTTCCGGGATAATCCTGATTTCATGTAATTTTATTTTCAATCCAATAAAGACAATTAGTGAAATACATAATGAAATGTGATTTCAATGTTTTATGTTATTCTGAGATTTCATATAATGAATTGCCAAATCAGAAAAAAATATTTTGTTAGGTTATGTTTATGGATTTCTGATTTGGAAAATATGGTTATTGAGTGCATCATGATGTTCCTGATAAACAGATTTTATTTAAAAAAATTTTTGCATATGCAAAGTTTGGTGAAAAACCATATTTCTGGAAGGTGATCTGGTATCTATAAACATTTGACGCCATTGATGGCTTCCCAGCTCCCATCTCTCCTTCAAGGAACATTGAGAATTATACTCTGACATTGTCATGAATCTTACATGTGTTAAGAATCTTTAAGTTTCAAGTGACCCAGTCCCCAACTCAAACTATTGATTAGGTCACATACTTGGAATGGCCAGTCAAGGCTGGCTGTAACTGAGACTTCACTTGAAAATTCATATGATGTCATCAAAGACTGGTTTTATCTCAGTTTTTCTGTCCTTTGTGTTTACTTCAACCTCAGACTCCACACAGGGACTGCTGACAGCCCTTAGGTGTCATTGGTGTCTCAAAATGGCCCAAGCAGTTCTAGATTTTGCATCTTCACACCTCACTGGCAAGGAAAAGAAAAAAGGTTTCTTCTAGTAGCCTCTATAGAGGAGAGAAGCTTTTCATTCCTAGAAGCCCTTAAAATATTTCTTGTATTTCACTGGCTTTGTTTAGCTTCTGTGCCCTGTCTCCAATCAATTCTTTGGCCAGAGAAATGGGATTCACATGTGGATTTAAGCCAACTGAGTTCCACTTTAAAATTTGAGGGTGAGTCAGTCTCAACTATGCCATGACAGGTGATTAAGAATGATTCTGCCAAAGCAAAATTTGGGTTCTGTTACCAGAAGATGGGAGGGATGCTGGGAAGAATAAAACAACTAATGTCTACCACAAGTCTCTGTGTTTTTGCATGCCACTAAAACACAATTTCCTAGGATAAAAGAGCCTGCCATGCAAAAACAGTTATATCACACTGATCTATAGCTGCTGCACGGTCAGCTAGACCTACATATTGGCTGAAAGTTTCTTTCTCAAAGACCAGGTACACAGCTCACGAGATGAAATTCCATGCCTCAGCCAAAGTGCTACCCAGAGATCTTCAGGTTCACACATCAGTAGTCAAAATTATTATACAAATGTGAAATCAGGAAATTCCAAATAGGCAGAACAAAGAAATATAATAGTATCATTATTTCTTTTCAAAAGCATGGGAATTATGAGGATTCTGGAGGTCTGTTAGGCCACTGGACAGAGAGGAACATTCTAGAATTATGGATCTAATGTGATATAAACCCTTAAAAGGGTACCTCCCAAACTCGTTCCATTATAAGTATCACCTAGGGAGCTCTTTAAAAATATAGATGCTGATATTCTACCCCAAACTTCCTGAATCTTATGTTCATGGGAAGAGCCTAATAACTTGTATTTTTAAAAACAGGTAAATTGGGGAAACATGGGTTTACATCCCTACTTGTCTACTGTAAAAGCCATGTGAATTTATGCAGAACTGGGAGGAGGCCACTTGAAATTGCCTCATTTATTCATTCAACAAATTTTTATTTTAAATTTATTCTGTTTTAGACACTGTGATTCTAGGCAATAAATATACAAAGAACAGTCAGATATAGCCTTTTTGATTCATGGAATTATGGTGTTATAGGAACACAGTTAATGAACAAGAAATACATGGCTATATGGTTACACTGTTATACTTACTGCAAAAGAAAAGTGTAGGGTGCTCAGAGAGTAATTAGGAGACCAGGAGATCTTTAATGACTTATCCATTAGTCTGTCCAAGTATGTGAAACATCGAACCTCCAGTACTAGGTGACAAACATCAGGATAAGTCTAAGAGAGATGAGACTTAGGGAAACAAACTGGCTCTGATACTGTAAATTCAAGAAGACCGTGGGAAGAGATCTTGGGGTAATATTCCCATCACTGGAGTTTATCTGTTATAAATCTCCTTAATGTTTATTTAAACAGAGCTGAAGCTATTGCTTGGTTTAAAAGACCAAATTCCTAGAACCAAGGGATCGCTGATGTTACTTTCTTTGGAATTTACCATGGCTAATATGAAGATCATGTATGCAGATGTGAATGTTGATACTACGTTCTTGAAACAGGCCCCATAGACCACTGCAGTTCAGTCAAGTGGATCGAACTTTCCTGTGTTGTTTCTCTCACACAAAATTTGAAAAGATCAACGCAGAAAATGTTATGTCACTTGTGTTCACAAGAATAGATTCTATTCTATTTCTTTTCTATTATTACTGCTGCTCAGTGTGATGATTTAGTATTGAGTGAAACCGTGTTATTATATTGCTTCTTTTGTAAATGAGAGTTATTGTTGGAATAGATCGCACATTTTCATTTTAAATACCAAAGTCCTGAGATTTGTTGATCTAACTAACAGAGTAGAAATGAATGTTTTAACTATCTGAATATACTTTCAGCTCTAAAGTTGGTATAGATAACTATAATTCTATCAGTTCTATTAAGTTGAGATTAAAATATTATCTAGCAAAAAAATGCTATGTCTAAGGCAATGAACTAAAAAATATCAGGTGATTTTCTATAACACACAGATGAGCATCTATGTTATTTTCATTTCAGGTTGATAGTCCAATATGGAAAAATTCTCATCTCACTAGCACCCAGGATTTTAACATTGTGTTAACTCTTGTCATAAATCAACTTCTTGTTTTCCTCTGAAGTATTTTATTATGTAATATATTATTTAACTCAGACAGGATTTTAAAAATCTATCAAATTAATAAAATGCTGCTTTGACACTGAATTACACTAGTCAACATTGCCACAATTTCCTAGCATTTAAAGAGAATAGCTCTGTATCTCTGGCTATTATAAAGTTCTTGTTATGTGGGTTGAGTTTGCATTTTTAGAGTGGGATCCCAATCACCATTAAGCCAAGTCTTCTTTTCACACCATTAGTTGTTTATTTTTCAAAAATGCATTTTTGAGTTTTGCTCACGTGAAACTGAAATATCTTCAGTAAAATTAAAAACTCAATTAACACATGGATATTTTGGTTTCATAGCCTAGGTGTCTGGAAATACTGAAACTGCTGGGATGTTCGGTTATTTGGAGAGGGAGGTTTGTTTAGTTGCTTTCCTTTTAGATGTTTTGCATCATAAAGAGATAGCCATAGAAAATTCTTTTTCCTAAGTAAAGGAATATGCTTCTCTTCCATGTTATACAGAATAAAGGTGACTATAATCAACATACTTAATGGGCAATTAGTTAATAATATTTTGTCTGTGTAAAAGCTGGCTTAGAAGCTACAGTCAACACAATAAGATATAATTCTTAGAAGGAAACTGTGAAAAAAGTTAAAAACAAATGTGAAACTGTTGTCTTCTTATGAGTACAGCATATTTTGGGGGATTCAGGTGGTGTGCTGTTTGTGTAAGGCTGGAGAGGATAAGCCAGTGGATAAAAAGTATACATAATTCCAAGATGATGAGACAGAGAGCTGAAAACATCATTAGAATTCCCAGGTCCAGCTATACTATATCCAATTTTAGACTTTCCAAATTTATGAGCCAATAAACTCCTTTTTAATAATTTAAATTACTTTTGTTTGGTTTCTGTCACCAAAAATCTAGAATCATATGTCAGATGTTGTAGAAAAGTATCAATGATGCATAGTTCTTTTTGTGGTTATGAGAGAATGAAATATAATATGATGTTATTTACATTCATGATCTTTAGTGGCAATATTATAAAGTTTGATAAGATGATAATATTTCCTTATAAATTTAAAGCTACTGAGTTAGAAAACAGGTTAGAGCTGATGACAGTTTCATTGAAAACAAAATAACTAACTTAATGTTTTTACTCCTTTAATTTAGTAATTCCTTTTGTAATTATGGGGTACAGGAGGCTTGGCAACAGCATATTCTGCAAAGAAAAAGATAAACGGACAGAATTCATTCTTAAGATTTACTATGAATATTTACCAGTCAACTTGATGTCCCAAACCATCTGCCTATATACACAGCTGATCCTAAGTGCAGTAAGTTCCATTTACTAACACATGGAACTGTATATTATACATCTTGGGAATGTTACTATAAAAACAAGAAATTAAACTTTAGGCGATTAAACTATCCATAAAATTATTGAATAATCCCAGATATATGGAGACTTTGTGGAAACACAACACATTTTTATAATTCTCAAGCAAGAAAAATGCAACCTGGTTGTAAGAAAGGCTGTAGAATCCCTGGAACTTTTAAAGGAACATTTACTTCTTGTTTAATATTTCTTGTATATATCGGGCACATGGATTCAACATTTTAGTCCAGTGCTTATTTTCTGACACCTATTATTGAATGAAAGTGTGCACTTGTACTTTATTTAAATGCCCACTATAAAAGAGACACACTGCTTTGTATCTTACACATGGACCTTGATTTCCATACCCAACTTCATCTCTAAACTATCACTACCATGGGGAAACCATTTGGTTTATTCCTAGCCCCAAAGATAAGTTAAAGTGTGCTCAGATGTTTGAGGTATGATAGGAAACTATCTTTTGAAGTTCTCGCTCTTTGGACAAATTTCATCATACCCAATAAACATGCTTATCTGCAGTGGATTGCATGTGATCTTTATACTTGTTCTATTCACTTTGTTTGCTTATTTGTTTAATCTTCTCTTTGCTTTTCAGCTCTTCACGTTCACAGTTTCAGATGATAGTTTCTTTTTTCTTACTGGTGGTGTTGCTCCTAGTTATGGCTAATAACAAACTTAACCAATTAATCTGTTTCTTTGCTGGTTTTTTCTTATGACACTCACCATGAGTTTTATGACTACTGATTATTATTAAGTACCTGGTTAACTTTGACTATCTACTGGTTATTAGACTTCAAAACAATTATTTGGAGAATTAGCATAAGGCATAGGATGATGACACCCTTCCTCCAGAGAGGTTGTTATGGAACTGAGTCCACCCAAATTTCACATGCTGAAATTCTAACCCCCATACCTCAGAATGTGAACTTATTTGGAAATAGGGTCCTTGCAGATGAAATTAGTTAAGATGAGGTCATAACTGGAAGAGGGTGGGCTCTCACCCCAACATGACTAGTGTCCTTATAAAAAGTAGAAGTTTAGATATAAACATACACATAGGGAGAACATCCTGAGAAAATTGGGGGTATGCTGCCATAATTAAGAAACAATCAGAAGCTAAGACAAAGGCTTGGAAGAGATACTTCCCTTGCCTACGGAGGGAGCATAGCCTTGTAGACACCTTAATCTTAGACTTCCAGCCTCCGGAATTGTGAGACAATAAGTTTTTGTTGTTTAAGCTACCCAGTTGGTGATGGTTTGCTATGGCAGCCCCAGAAAACAAAGAGAGAAGGTGTGAAATTTGCTTCTGTGAATCCTTTGGGTGAGGGATAAAGAAACCTATGCCCTTGGCCAGTGAGTACGCCCTATGCTTAGAAGTTCATTCACCTCTGATCATTTAATTTCAGTTACCCTCCTTCCAACAACTTAGCAGGCAGAGACAGTCACTGACTTAGTAGTAAAGAAGACAGAGTTCAAGGGCAAAAGAACACATCTATGGTAAGGCCCTTCCACTCTAGACTTAGCCTTCCTCTTGTGTTGTGCGTACTGTCGCATTTTACATACCTGGGTTTGCAATCTCAGGACATTGGCCAGTGTCCCTTCACCCTACCCTATTCTGCATGAGTTAAAATATGCTTTCCTGAGAAGGCTGGGATACATTTATAATTAATAGTAGCCCAAGTAGCCCAGTTACCTAAAGAGAGGTCATTTGAAAGAAGAATTCAATACATTTTTCCCAGCCTAGTAAATATTTTTAAAAATAGCTCTTTAGTTAGATAGCTAAACCTAAATTTTCAGAGAGGCAGTAGATAGGTTTAAAAGCAGATTAATAAAGGAAACAAACATTTAACTAAAATTAAAGACTTTATTGGTTGAAACATATTATTTACTAACTTAATTTAATTTTAGATTTTATTTAGTCTTGAGCAGAATGTTTTTCCAGTTTTCTGATTTTCCTTAGTCAGTAGGCTAGTTTCCTGGCTGTTTTTTCCTAACTCTCATGCATTTCTCATATCCAATCATAATGTCCATTTGCATAATTCTTAACCCCAGACCTTGAATGAAAAAAGAAATAACAATAATACCTTATATCTGTATAATGCCTTAGAGTACACATGTCCATTTATATAGCAGAAGCTCCCCTAAACCATCTTCACTTACACATTCTGATCAGGTAAGACAATTTTTCATTTATTCCATGGCACGATGAGGACCAGCTGCTATTAGGCCACTTTTCAGCAAGCTGCTCACCTTTGTGCCCAACAGTGGAACAATTTCTACAAAGTTGTGTTTGTCCTCAAAAGTGCATAAGTGAGGAGTACTTGGTATTGTCATTGTGTCATTTAAATAAATATTATTAGATAAGCCTGTGGTACACGAGTACAAAAGGAAAGAGAATTGTCTCTATAAACCTAACAGAAAAACAAAAAAAGACAAATCACATAGAAAATTAATTTTGAATTAATTTCAGAACAGACATGGTAAAAAAAAAAATGGGAAACAAATCTGGAAGAATTCTACACAGGTTGCATTGCAAATGTCTTTAAATTACTATTGTACTTTAAAGACACAAACTAGAAATCATTAACACTGCAATTTGTGTGTGATTCATGGAGGAAAGAAAACTCATCTTCGATCAGCAGAGCCATGTGCGGTAGGCAGAATACTGTCCCCCTACAGTCACATGCCCAAGGATGCTTATGTCCTCATACTCAGAACCTATGAATGTGCTATCTCATATGACAAAAGGGATCTTGCAGATGTGATCAAGCTGGAAATCTTGAGATGAAAAGAATATCCTGGATTCTTGGGTTGGACTCAATGCAATCCCAAAGGTCTTCATAAGTGAAAGAAAAACAGGAGAGTCAGAATCAAGAAGAAGATATGCTGATGGAAGCAGAGTCTTGAGGAGTAAGGAATGTGGGTGGCCTCTTGGAGTTGGAAAAGGCAAGGAAGCAGATTCTTCTCTAGAGGCTCCAGAAGGAACGCAGCCCTGCCAACACCTCAATTTTAGCCGAGGGAGGGCATCTTGGACTTCTGACCTACAGAACTGAAAGATAGTAATTTTGTGTTGTTAAAAGTCAGTATGTTTGTGGTAATTTGTTATAGAGCAATAGGAGACAAATACGCATGTTTAAAGAAAAAGCTTTGTGCATCTATAGATGGACTGTGGAGAAAAAGTGTACTTATGTGTTTAAAATTAAAATTTAAAAATTGTAGTACATATATATCACTTTTAAATGATTTTCCACTTACTTGACTTTTTAATTAATTGCTCAACTACAGGCTCCAGTTGTTTCAAAGAAGAGGGTTACTACTCCCCCTAGAATCCCATTTCGTCCACAGGAGTTGTTAAATCCATCTCACACTTGCATCCAAGGTTTTAGTTTTGTCTCTGTCTTTATCTTTATGACCCAAGTAGAGAAAATCATTTTACTTCTTTGTTATTTTCATTTATAAAACTGGGGCTCAGACTGGATGCTATATTAGGGATATTCAAACACTAAAATCTATGATTCTAAAGTTTTCCAAATAACCTGTTTTAGCTTACCTAGCTGATAGGTTTATCTGTGGTTTGGTGCTGATTTAACTTGAAATTAAAGTTCCGGTGCTTCATAGATGCTGGCTCCCCTTAACCAAGGACTTATGACTTAAGTATTTGAAGGACACTGGAGTCAGGAGACCAGGATTTCAGATCTGACTGTCACTAACTAACTGGGTGTCCTTTGACAAATCTATTAGTTTTTCAGGGACTTAGTTTTTTCATTTATACTTTATGATGTTGGAGTCAGTAATCTTTAAGTTCTCTTTTAGATCTATAATTCTATGATTCCATATTTCTAATTCCAGCAAAATTCAGTTTTAAGGAATGTTGAATTTCTCCTCAAGGTGGGAGGAGAGATACTATGGCTACATAGGATATCTATGCATATTCCTGTACTCTCCTATGCATATCTTTTCCAGAGAGTTGAAAGTGTCTGTTTAAGTCCTATAATTTAAAAACTGAAGTTAGATACAAATTACTTTTCTTTTTTTGAGACAGTCTCACTTTGTTGCCCAGGCTAGAGTGAGTGCCGTGGCATCAGCCTAGCTCACAGCAACCTCAAACTCCTGGGCTCAACTGATCCTCCTGCCTCAGCCTCCGAGTAGCTGGGACTACAGGCATGAACCACCATGCTGGGCTAATTTTTTGTTTCTATTTTTAGTTGACTGGCTAATTTTTTTTCTATTTTTAGTAGAGATGGGAATCTCACTCTTTCCCAGGCTGGTCTCAAACTCCTCACCTCAAGTGATCCTCCTGGCTCAGCCTCCCAGAGTGCTAGGATTGGAGGCGTGAGCCACTGTGCTAGCCACAAATTACTTTTTGTTAGGATAACCTTGTCTCAGTCATGGATCTAACTACCCACTCTGCAAGACACAGAGAGTTCCCACCCTGGCATTGGCATAGAGCAGGATACCAGGGAGAGCTCCAGAGTCTCACACATTAGGAGGACTCAGACTTAAAGGCATATCAATTGTAATATCACCTGTTAAGCATTGTGACAGAGGGTAGAGCTAAAAGCAGAATGCATACAAGGGAAGATGTGATTAGCCTCACCTGTAGTAGTGGCACGGGCTTTTGAGCACTGGTGACCCATGAGATGTATCCTGAAGGTGTGGAAGAGGAGGTTCAGGATCAGGGAGCATTTTGGGCAGAGAGGATAGCTTGTTCCAAATGCAAAAGTGTGAAAGGCGTGGCATATTTGGGAAAAGGTGAAAATCTCATCATGTTTAAATAGAGAGCAAGTGAGATAAAGGACTTGGAAAGGACATGGAAGAGAAAATGAAGGCCATTTTATGCCAAGCTAGATGCAAGAAGAAATCCAAAGACGTTTCTACACAGTGAAGTGGCACAATCAGATGCTATTTTAAAAGAGCTAGCTCTCACAGGTATTGGGAGGGTGCAGACTGGATTGGTGAGGCTTGATGGAAGGGAAAGAGAGAGGAAACTTCAAGGGACAGCGAACACTGAACTAAAGCAGTGGTGTTTGGCAGCCGTTTCAGAAAAAGAATCCATTGGCTTTTATAACTGGGCTCCCTTTCCCAAAGCACCACCCTCTACCCCAGAAGGGGCTGCAGGAGCACACATCGAGTCTTGGCTCATTCCCCTGAGCAATGAGGACTATTTTACAATACAGAACTCCCAATCATCACCACTGGTAGCACACACACACAAATCACATTTAAAAAACACATTTAAACAGAATTTGCAAGGACTCGACGGATTATGAAGTAGTTTCTTATCCCCCCTCATGGCTATGAATACATTGCAAAATCTAGGACAGTTAAATACTGTATTTAAATTCAGATGTGATATATACATATGTTACTTATTCTTTTTATAAAGATCTGCCCCAGTGAAATTTAATTAGCCTTTGCAAGTTTATATATTGTGTGTGTTGGAAGGATGATCTAAACTAAGTTGGTAGTTTTAACCTGACTAAATTCTCCAACCTTACCAGCAGAGAGGTGTGTCAGAATTAGATTTCACTAGAAGTGGTAGAAAATCCAAATAACAATGTCTATAAAAGGTAGAAGTTTATCTCTTGGATAAATAAATATGATCTGTAGAGCTGGGAGTTGGCAGAACAGCTTCACAAAATCTTTTTCATCGGGAACTGAGGCTTTTTCTTTCTTACTGCTCTGCCGTGTCCATGATTTCCACCTCATGATCCAAGGTGGTGGCGAGAGCACCAGACATTTCCTCATATGCCCATGGGAAAGAGGGAAGAATGCAGACAGCGTCACCTCTTTAAGGAATTCTCAGAATTCATATGTGACACTCCTGCCTGAACACAATTAGAATATATTTACATGACAGCAAGGCAGGCTGAAAAATATAATCATTTTTCTTGTTGCCATGATTCTGGCTAAAAATTGGAGGGTCTGTAACTAAAGAAGAAGAGCTGAATGTATATTAAAAGGTAACTAAACCAGCAGTCTTTGCTACAGCAGTCTTTCCTAGTCTTTGCTAGGAACTAGACAAAGTACGATAATGACAGTGGAGTCAAAATTAATTGCTTTAGTAATATAAATGACCAGTCAGTGACCAGTTCCACAATTTAAAAACAATTCTTAGTAGTTTGAATACAGACTGCCTAGGAGACACATCAACTAGGAGAGTAAAATTCCAGCACTTTTGGAGGCTGAGGCTGGAGGATTGCTTGAGGCCAAGGGTTCAAGATCAGTCTGGGCAACATAGCAAGACCTCATCTCTACAAAATAAATTTTTTTAAAAAAATTAGCTGGGTATGGTGGCACATGACTGTAGGCCCAGCTACTTGGGAGACTGAGGTGGGAGGGCTGCTTGAACCCAGGTGTTCAAGGCTGCAGTGAACTATGATTGTGCCACTGCATTCCATCCTAGGAAAAGAGAACAAGACCCTGTCTCAAAAAATAAACAAATATATAATATAATATAATATAATATAATATAATATAATATAATATACAAGGTAGGTGTGGTAGTTTCTCTCCAGGATGGATTCCCTTCCCTCTTTATATATACAGAGGGAGCTCTTAAATTATTTGTGTTCTTTGGAGAAAATAGAGATGATAGGTAATATATACTCTTGGAATTAGACAGGTAAATACTTTATATTATTACATCACTCACACAACTAGGTCAACAATGGCCCACCAACCATGACCCTCTATAGCACCCCTCCTCCTTTCAGAGGGAAGCACATGGCACCCTGCCACCATCCCAGGGGGCCAGTGTCACACCTAGCTCTGCCCATTCCAATGGCAGCTGCTGCTCCAGCACCATTTCCCCCACTCCACGCTATTCGTCCCCAGGGAAAAACCAAAAACTTATCTTAATAGATCCATCGGCAGTTCTGGATTAAGAAGTATTCATATTTGATTGGTTGTGCCTCTCTCCCATGTTCCAGGAGAGCTCGTGCCTGACCTTGTGCCCACCACAAAGCAGTTAATGACTCAAATCAGGGAGTGGAGAGGCTAGTTAAGGGAGATAACTTTGGAGTGTCAGGGTCTCATAGTGCCCTTTAAATAGTTCCACATGTGGTTGACATGGGAGGCTTTTGTTCTGCTTGAATGTAGTCCTGGCATAAGCATGTGTGTGTATCAACAACGTATATGTTAGGTAGGCAACTATCAGAAATTTAAAATAGGGACAAAAGCAAAACAGGACAATGAAAGTGGTAGGTGTGGAAGATTGTTTTGAATCCTTCAAGACAACTGCCATCAAGTCCTTCCCTCCCCATAAGGGAACACCATTTCCCTTGGAGAGATGGAGTCTATTCCTCCCCTCCCTCTTGAATCTGGGCTGGTCTTAGGGGCTTGCTTAGCCAATGAGTATGAAGCTTTGCAGCTTCCACTTGGGTCTCTTATAATGCTTGTGGAAGGCTCCTCTAGGA